GAAAATGCCAAAACTACTGATTTTCACGTAATCCATCTTCTATTAAACAAAAAAAATAAGGGAGTTGGAGAACAAAAAACAGCTGTGTATGGTCCCATAGAAAATAATGTGGGTAAGTTGTTCACATCAAACATATCATTGTATTTCACTCATTCAATTTTATTCAAGAATTATTTTCTTTTCCAACATGTTATTGATTTGAATATTTCGTAATGAATTTCTTTGGTAAGTTCTAAACAAAAATTACTACGCCCTCTTAACTCTAAGTGCAGCTAACTAATAGTGAGGCCACCTTGATCAATAAATCATCCTTCATAGGTGAACATGCTTCTTGACTCTCATGTCGCGTTCTTATTTCTATTAGATATGCTTTAAGAACCAATTCGGCAACATCAAAGAGTCTCATTCAAGCTCAGGGACTTGCTTAGGAGAGAAAATCGTAGAGTAAGAAAGCACTTGACATATCAATGAATATACAATGAACCACTAAATCGTGTATAACATTGTTGGGTTTTGGAGAATCCGAGTCACCCGCTACATGCTGAAAGGTACTTAAAATTTTTGTTAGCTACAACCGATTATTTATCAATTGTGTGGTATATTCTCATATGTTTATTTAGTGTTTCATGGTTTGACAAGAGCATGAGCGAACAAAAGAAGACATGATGGGAGAACCACCCTTCTTGTATATTGGAGCAAATGAGTAGAGTTACCCACCGGTATGGTGTTATGGGAGAATAAATCGATACCTTCATGTGCAATATCAATGATTTCACAATTAGAGCTGCGAGATATTGTGCTACGCATAACCATAGAAGTTATATGACTAGCCTTTATCCCATCTCGACATCGAGAAATATGTAAATTTTCGAATTTAGACTTCGCTCCGTTGGCTAAAATTTCTTAGATCACAATTATATCGCTATACAATAGTTTCGATAATAGTCGGGAAATTCCCGCAGTGGTAATTTTCCTACACTCAGTGAATAGAAAGAGACAATACCTGGAACGACCATAGATTCTTATAACCCCTCAGGCTACCGCGAGGAATCAGCCACCTTAACTAGATATGAACATAAACATGGACAGACTCAAAGGATGAACCTAACCAAGAAAATTCTCAACTTACAAGATATTATATGAGCTATAAAAATTATAAGCATATTCAAAACACGCTCAACAATTATCTGTAATAGAATGTCTAATTATGAGAAACTTCATCTATTTATTAAGAGAAATCTTGATATAGTCCTTGATAATCGCATTCCCTGATGACAACTTCGGTTCCATGCTCAGGAGGGATCTATCTTCCCGACGTCTTACGGAGCTTCGTCAACTGAGAACACTTACTATCATAGTGCAATTGTCATATAGAAAGCAGTACATAGCACAGAACTAAGAACATCCAAGCTAGAAACTAAATGAATATGAAATAATGGGGCAAAACATGGCGAGAGTAGAAGATTCAAATGAGCAGAAACAACATAACACGAGCATAATCTATTCCCACTATATCAATAGTTTCCCACTAAAAACTTACGTCCACACACTTGCAAAATTCGAAAGTCACTATGTAGTAAAGATGTCAAACTAATCATAAAATCTCTTTCTTCATAAGTTTAAAAGTTAGGGGAAGATCAAACATTTGCATTTAGTTTTGGCGTTGATTTGATGAATCCGATCTTCGTATTAGATTCATGCATACAGGTGGAGACCTTCGCCACATGAATCCTAGTCGACTCTATTGGGATATGATCATAGTATGTAGGACAGCAAAAACTTAAAGGGTATATGTATTACCTGTTAATGTAAACGTACACCAAAACGATATGTACATTTTTTGTTTTTGTGAGGGTCCGGAAATTTTTCAAAATGATTAACACACAATGAACACATGCGAACTCAAAAAAGATAAAACATGTACTCTTTTTATTATATGACCCAAAAATATGAAAAGAACTGATCCCCATAAGCTCTTTATATTTGAGATATTAAATGATCAAAGCTTAAGTTCAGCAAATATATATCACATAAAGAACTAACCTTTTTTGGAAAAGTGCGATTATTGGTGGAAAAAAAAAGCAAATTCTGAAAGAGTCATTCTTAGCCAACAAGCGATGCGCTCGCTCGGGATGTGAGAGTAATAGCAATCAAAAATAGCACCAACATAAATGAAAATGGAATTACACCTCCATTTATATGTTTCCTATCAACGCTCACTCAACTCAAATAGCGCTCCAATACTGGCTGATACTTCCGCATGGATTAAGTTAAGATTATGCGTCAAACGGCCATACGTTCGAAATTGAATTTAAAGCTAAACCATTATTATAATGGACCTAAAAATGTGAGAAAAAAGTAAATTTATCAATAATACAACCCCTTGGGATTAGACGTCTTCTTTATCTTATTTAAAATTTTGTCTCTCCAATTCAGCATGTTGGGATCACTTATCTAATATTTCTTTATTAAAGAACTCCTTACTTTTTATTACAATTTATTGAAACACTTTAAATAGAAATTTTGTGAAGCTTTTCTGTTTTTCTTTAACTTAGGTGACTTTAATGGATTTATAAATCTATGGATTTTTATGAGAGTCTAGATTGATCATATTATGTAAATGAATTTCATTATATTATAAAATGCTCTGAATTATAGAATACCCATCCAAAACAATCATAAGGAAAGTCAAATGTATATCATGAGTCTAGTCTGAATGCACTACAAATACCTCAAGGCAACCCGTCTCTTCCACGTGCTTTGTAATAATTGTCGCCAAAATTCCCAGAACATAACTGGTCCTCACAAAATGTTTAACTAAACCAAGATAACTTTTACAAGAATCAAAAATTATAAATTAATAAAAAGACCATAGAATGAATGTGATAATAAACCCTTTTCTGTGTAAGAAAGGATCTTATTATTGGGAAGACTCATTTAATACTTCCCTAAACTGTTCACACCCATGGAATTTTTCTAAGTGCTTGATTCTGTAATAAAGAATCTCTCTGCGTAACTATCACTAATATGGCGAGATTGACTGAATTTTTGATATTCTAATAGCGGTATAACCACTTATCTAATTGAAAATCGATACGGTCGCTGGAGGTTTGTTGGTTTGGTTGCATAGTATAAAAAGAATGTAAAGAAAGAAATGAGGAATTGCAAACACAGAGCCCCTACAAACAGAATCAAATCATAGGAAAATAAGCAAACCATAAACACCACCTTAAAACAAACTCAATGCTTGTGCAACAGATGGTTCAACTCATCAGAACACCAGGGTAAGTTCGAAAACTAAACCGTAAATATATTATATAAAATATAAAACAGTTCACATTTTTACTTTAATGAGAGTAACATGTCACAAACCTCACCAGTTGTTGAGGACCAAAATGACCTAAACCTTAACAAAAATCATATATCTGCGTAGAAAGTCAGAGGGAGGTGGTGGTATCCGATCGAATTGAACTTAAAATTACTAAAGAAAGGTTACTAATCGAATAAAGGTCTGGGCTCTAATTGATGAGTCGCATTCCATAATTCCAGAACAATATGAAAACACCTAACTGTTTTATGTTTTTGATATTATCTTTTTTTAGCATAATGCGGATAGGGTATTTAGTAAAGGAGTTAAAAGGAGTAGAAGATGGGATATGAGAGGTTATTGGCACAGCGGGCGTAGAATAAATCCGAGCTTCTATCTAAAGGCCACGAAACCAGCCCAGAAAGCTATGGTCCATATAAGACACCAACCCACCAATTGATGCTATGCAAAGTAGAAGGAATACGAGAAGGTACATGAGAAGAAAATATCCTAACACCTAACTATGTTCAACGCAGAAAGAAAATTAAAGATATCGATATAAATACAATAAGATAAAAAATACTTATAATACCTACGTGGCTTGTTCCTTACCAATTTTTTCTAATTTTGCATCGGTAAGTGATTTTTCATACTTTTTCTACTATAATTATGGGACTTTTTGTAAAATATCTTTTACTAATATAGTTAACTAATATTATTATGTATTATATTAAATTTAATTTTAATAATACGTTATACTATATTAGTAATGGTCTAATTACATGACATCAGCCTTTGTAAAATTTAATTTCGAACATCTGCCCTCGACGCACTCGGGGGTTGTTGTTCCTAAAAGATCATTCTTCAACCTCTTCATTTACGACAGACTCGTCAAGCAAGTTCTATGTTTTCTATTCGCCTTGCAGTCTTGCACATTATATCTCTCAGGCAATGGCTGGTAGTCTAGAAAGGACGAAGGAATGCGAAAATCTGGAGTGTCAATTAAAAATGGTTTTCACAACTTGTGGCTGCAAATTTTTGAGAAGTGACATTAACAAACTTCCCCGCTAGTAGAACTTGCTCTTGAGATTAAGGCCTGATAGTACTTGAGGAAATCTATATATATTATAATGGCAACAAGTCAATCATTTTGTCTTCACATATGAGAAAACCTAAACAGAAATAGAAATATCCTCTCAAACCCACAGAGAAGAAATAATTAGTAGAGAGCAATTTTCACAACGACCACTCTTGTATTATCACTAATAGTGTAATGGATAGGAAATTTCACAAATGCTAAAAAAATCTAAGTCTTTTGTAAGTATATTATTTTCGTAATAATTTTCTTACCTCGTAACTAGCCTCCCTATAATACCTCAATAGATGCCAAAACTCCATGGATCGTAAAGGAACAAGAATAAAGAAGTAACGTTGTGGACATGAAAAGATAATTAAGAACTACGAAGGATTTTAAATACCCATAATAAGTATAAAACAAAGAAAAAAATGAATGATAATTAAGGATAAAAAGATTTTAATTAATCTGTGACTCAGGCCTTACTTAAGTCTGAGTCCCCAAAAATTCTTGCTATAAATGAACATAAAACCTAGAGATAAGATATTAACGCTAATTAACAACTTCTCACCTAAAATTCTTTAATGTTCAGCCAACACTCTTCTGGCAACACTTCACTTAATCACGTGCCACTATGGCTCGTCTCCCGCTCTCGGGCACCCCCATTCCCCCTTTCCTGCCATAGCGCAATCTTAACCACAACCTGCTGATTGATCACTTCACCTTATATTATTTCATTGACTGATGCATATAGACATCGCAAGAACTCGATTTTCTAAGTTCGTTCGTGTGGTTGTCGTAAAAACCTCTAACCATATGGCTATCCTATATGTCTTGGTTAAATTCTGGCGTTTGTTCTTGGTGTATGACATTTTGAGGGACGATGGGTCCTCAGAATCGGGTATTCGGAACAAACACAATCACTAGTCCTTCTCTCGCCACATCATACACTAATTAAAGGGTTCTATTTCGTCCTTTTGCCTTTGGGTAGCATCGGGCACTATCCGTAAAGACAGTGCTGCAGACCAGGGAATCATGCTCCCTGTCGGTTCAGCCTGCCAACTTCGTTAGTAATTGTTTCCGAGGACAAAAGGGGTAAAAAAAGTTATCCCTTATTGAACCAAGGATGTCGGAATAAATCATAGGGTTTTGTACAACAAATTAAATAATAAAATTTACCAGTGAGCTCTTATCTGGCTATAATTTCTGGTGGGCAAATATTTTACTGGGCGTTATGCCTAGCGCCACGTAGTAAATAACATTCGGTGGCTAAGGACAACATAGGTAATATTCATTCCGGGCGCCAAAGTTCTTAGTTCCAGAATTTTTTCAACAACCAAAAAAAAATTAGGTTGAAAACAAGCAGAGCATGAGGTGAACAAAGAAATCTTTTTTTTCCGAGTTACATCATTTCATCCATCAACAAAAGCAAGAATCGGTAAGGAACACCTAAAACAATATGAAAGATCGTTTGCCCTGAGGCGGACACAAAAAGTGTAGAAATACACAATCCTATGGTTCAACTCTGTTTTCCTCCTGGATTAGCGCTCACAAGTACCATAAAGGTTTCGGACAAAACTAACCTTTGCCTATTGGTTCTGCGATGGTAAATAATATATTATCTGATATCTCAAAGAAATAAATTAAGTGAAGCCCATATTATTAAATATTTCTTTCTAAACTTCTAAGAGCAAATTAAGAGGAAAAGCCGTTAGGTACACAAAAGTTTCTCATAAAAGCAACCTCATGATTATTATGCGAGGAATTGAACATGACCTTATTTCGTCAAACAAAATAGATAAAAATATCACTAGACCAATAAAGGTAAATTCGAAAAATTAATGGAGACAAAATATGTAGAAATATCACTAGAAAAAATTACTAGTAAATTTCTAATGAAGAAGAAGAATACCTGTACATGTAAATATCGCGGCCGGGAATAAGTCGGCGTTTGCAGAGACCACAAGCCTTCAAGAAGTGGGCAGTTTCTCCAAAATCAGCAGAACTTCTTCTGTGGTTTCTTGGCGATGCTGATGATGGTGAAGGCAACTTCATCATAAGCCGTTGATCCAACCCATCAAGCCCACCACCACCACCACCACCACCACCACTACCACCACTGCCCCATAAGGCCAGAGGCTGATAAGGGTTGTTGGGATCGGACGGTTGAGAATGAGGTGCCCCAGTACTAATGGTGTTCAGATCGAAGGTGATTTCTGACATGCTTGTGGTCCTCTTCATTGGAGGCCTTGGTCTCTTCCCCAACAACATTTTTCTCCTCTCTGCTTATACTACTAACAACCTGAAAAGGCTACAAACTGCTATTCTCTCTAAATCTCTGGAGAGAGAGAGAGAGAGGCAAAGAGCGAGAGGGGGTGAAGCGAAGGTGGGGAAGATAAAGAAGAGCCAGAAACTGAGGAGTGAATCTGGACCGTTGGTTGTTGCAGTTCTTAACGGAGATTGAGGGTTGTGGAGTCTTGTGACCTGTGACTTGTGATTTGTAAGAGTGAGCTGTTTGCATGAAAGGAAAATCCACGCCAGCACTTTAATTATTTTATTTTATTTATTTAATTCTAAAGCAAATGGAGCTTTGGATGCTTTTTATTTATTTATTTTACCTTCTAAAGCTTGGAGTCACCTACAAAGAGTTTTACATGCTATCCATTTAACACGCAGAACTTATGTTGATTATTGGGTGATTGGATATTACCTTGTACAACATATCGATGGTGAACATATTTCAATGAGAGATGCAAATTATCTTAGAAAGTGCATTTTATATTTTTTGGAGTTCACAGAAGATTTGAAACGAAATCGAGTGAAATGATATTATAAGATTAATATGGTCGATCTTATTTAAGGTTGGTTTGATTTTGTTGTGCTTTTAAAAAAAAAAAAACTGATTTTTTTTTGAGAAAAATACGATATTTGATATCTGATTCATATTCCTTAATTCTTATAATCTTAAATTCTTTAATTATTTACTTTTTCCCATGCTTAATAAATAAACTTGTCATCTAAGTATAGAATGAACCTAGTGTTTGTCCTAAACTTAGCTCAGAATGATAGATAAATCGAGTTCTTGTTTGAGTGGTTGCAGTGGGTTTAGCTCTTAGCTGTTTTTGTTTTTGTTAATGTTTCTTTGCTTTTCTCTTAGCAGGAAGGAAGCCTACTTGTAATTGATAATTAATCTTAGGGTCTTGGTTCGACGAGCAAATTTTATGTGTAACTTGACTCGTCTAATCCATTATCGTCATTTCGAAGGAAAAAAAAACGATGATTTAATTAAAAATGGATTGAGTAAAGGATAGAAAATATCTAATGATCAGCTTGAAGTGCAAGTACATACAGTATACCTACATTACAAAAAGGTAATATAGGTTAGGACGCCTCTACTTATGATGTCAGTTTCCGAGCTTGCACGCTTCAGTTCAACTATTTGCGGGGGATTGGCTTTACTCCTGGTCTACCCATTTGCTCCGTACAAACAATAGAAATATTCAAGTAGCTCCATAACATACTAGTTAAGTATTGATTGATGCTTTCTTTTATTTAGGGGAACTTTAACGAAAAGTTCATAATACTGTTCATTTTAACGAAAAATCATATTTTTACACGAAAAAGTTAATTCTAGTACTATTCATTTTACCCTTTATTTTATCTTTATCATTAAAATTCAAAATTTTCAAATCATTTTTCATTAGCCCTCGTTTTATTTAGTCCACCCATGTCGTGGTTTTCAAGTATAAATTCATGCACCAATATTGAAGGAAGTTCCAATAAAATGAAAGTGGTTAAAGCAAGGAAATATGAGGTAAGAACAGCCAAAGTTTAAAATGCATGGTCCCGATCAACCACTTTGATTTCACCGAAGGGCCGAAGGCTTTTAGGATCAACCGCTTTATTTTTACCATCAGTGTATATTTACTTGTGATATATGTTCTAATACATATTGTGATTATGTAAATCCTAAGTAGAGATAGATTAGGAATCTTTTGGGATCTAAAAGATCTTTCCTAATATATTTTGCATTACTTGGAGAGCAAGTTTCTCTTTTTCTTATTATTATAAATAAGGGTACAAGGACTGAGGAATTAACACACAATTACTCAAGTCTATTCTTCACTCCCTTTCTATCCATGCTGTACCTCTCAATTAAATATAGGACACAACACGTTATCAGCACGCTCATCTGCTGCGCTAAGAAATTTGATGTGATTATTCTTCAGTCAGGGGAGTATTACGTTTCAATTATTCTTAATTCATTAAATTTTGATTTTATTGAATTCATATACTTTTATTGATTCAATTTACAATTTTTTTTCTTCAACGTGATACAAGCTTTAGAGATGGAAAGCCGAAATTGAAGAAATAATTTTCTGCACCAAACCAATTCATCAATATCATCACGCAATCAGGTTCTTCTAAAACAACGATTTTTATCTCAATATTTTTGCAGCCCTGATAACATGGACATTCACCATAATGCATAACCCAACTTTACGTTTTTTGAATTTTAGATTCTACCTGTATTTTGTATGCATTATACTTATAATTTTGAATTAACGGAACTGATATTGCATGAAATTATATATAGATCAGCATTAAATTATATATGCATAATTGAATTTTGAAAAAAACAAATATATATTAGGGTTTGAAAACCCCTCTCATTGAGCGAGCTGCCGAGACCAGCATGCTAGACTGACATCTTGAGCCAATAGAGCTGAGCTAACCCTGAGCCATGCCACGGAGCAATTGCTCAGGGCTTGAACCCAGACCCGACGCCATGAATGGCGTCGCCATCACCAAAACCACGGCCAAGTTTGGCCTACAGCCACACTACCGCCATGGGTCAACGTCCCCAAAGACCTAAAAATCGTCCCTGACGGACTTTTGGTCGAGATTCATTTGAATCTCATCACATTTTTCTAAGTCCCGATTTAAATTTCCAGGGTTATTGATTTTGAACGTCGATATCTATTTTCTGTTACCAATAATGGTCGTCGTTGAACCACGAACTCACCCCAAGTTTTCCTGACCAAAAGTATGGCCGCCTGAAGCGAGGAGGCTGACTTTTTTCTTTGGCGAGCACACCCAGCAGTGGTTGGGATGTTTTTTTTTTGTCTACTACCATTGCTTTGGCTCGACCCGCATGACATCAGCCTGTGGGGCTATGGTGCCTCTGTACACCACAAAGCTCACGATAACAATCCTGTATAGATGTGGTGCTCCCCTACATCACGTTGCATCAGATCAATGTCGTATACTGGTGCATCCGTGCCTACGAAGCACACAATTGCTGCCTTTTTTTGGGTTGCTAGATCTTGCCCGATTATGGGCCTGCTTCTTGCACTGCTTCGCCCGAACTGACCTTAGCCCAATTTTTAGGTTTGGGCTTCATGGTTCCATTTTTTTTTTAAAAGCCCCTATGGACTTTGGTCCATTTTGGTTCACCAATTTTAATTGCCTGAAATTTTTTTAGGCACTATTGGGTATATATATTTCTCCCAATTATTCCCATTAGGTCGAAGATTAATAATTAATTAAATAACTATCATAGGCCTTGAAGACCTACATGCATTTATCTATTGCATATTTTTGTCTTGTATATTTTGCACTTATTTGCAGGTATTATGAACCCAAAGTTCATACTTCTGAACCCGAAGTTTCGGATAAGTGCCATAGAAACCTAAAGTTTCTTAATGTGCAACACTCATGTTGAGTCCCAAAGTTCTTAATGCTTAAATCTGTTTCATCCAACCCATGTCTTAGAACCTAAATGTTCTAACTTTGATGTTTATGGAAATTTCCTAAAACACCAATCACATTCTTGTTTCCTCTATTTAGCATGTTGTCGAATCGTAACAAGTTAGATTTCACTGATATGGAAGTTTCGAACAAGAAACTACTTTATGTGGATCCAAGACGTGGCACCCACTTGACTACGACTAGTTGCGTAATCATTGTAGCCAGTTATGGTGTGGAAGATTGAATAAGCCTCCGCCATGATCTTCTTTTGAAGACTTATGCCTGAAGGATATCAAATGGAAGTACCTCACTGCCGAGGACTCCATGGCTGTTTAACTCTCTATGAATCGTTTCAAATCATGTAAAGATGAATTTTTACCCGAATCAAAACATGATTGGAACAAAATCTTTCTCGTCTTTCTATATCTAAATTGTTCCTGAAGTAGTAGTATAGAGAGGGGAAGTTTACCAAATTCTTGGATCTGATTACCACCACACTTGTGAAAGAAAGGTATCCCAGTAATTCGGTTGGTAGGTACCGAACGGTGTATACCTAGTTTCAACTGGAATCTACCGAATGGTGGTGCCCTACTTTGGCAAAGATGCACCGAAAGGCATGCTTTGCTTCGACAGAGGTGCACCGAACGTTATTGCTTTGCTTCGGAAAAGGCCTACCGAACAGACACCTCCAGCTTCGGTTGGAGCCTACCAAACCCAAGTATGGGTCTGTCTCTCTCTCACAATCACATTTCGAGTTTGTTTTACAAATATATGGTAAGAATTAAGGCCTGCTAAGAGGTGGTATCACACCCAAAGCATGATTCTCGGCATCTATGACCTAAAACTTCAAGAATAAAGGATAATATTCTTGAACCTCAACCTTGTTGATCTAATTTCGTTTTGACAAAATAGATCATTGGTTATGCACTTTATGTGTTTTTACCAATGTTGTTAAGGAGTCCGTAGTCAATCCGTGAGACTAATCAAGTTTGTATATTTGATTTACTTTGCGAACAGTATATCTTGTTCTCGGATTTAAGATTGGTGTTTAGATGACATTATTATTCACGAATAAGAGTTAATTAATGAAAATTACTGCATGTGACAAATCTAATTAACTCACGCTTAGGTATGTTTTGTGGGGAAGTTAAATGTCTAGTTATATGCTAACTTCATGCCTAATCATCCCCTGACAACCCTTTCAGGCTTATCCAACCTGAATGTGGGGCATGGCATTGCTCTATGTTGTCCAATGGTAATAATTTTACCATAATGGAAAGCCTTATACTCACTTTGTTCCTAAATAATGCTCTTTTGAGCTTTAAGGATATTCGAGAGAATTATTACCATATTGAAACCAATGTAGAAAATAGAGTAAAATTCCTTTGTATTTCCAACAAATATAGGTAGAAGCATATTCTAGAGAAAATGGAAGGTCTAACGAGTGGAATTCACCCATTCAGGCCCACTGTGTGGTTGACCAGAAGCTCGGGATTCCAAAGGAATTTTCACTGTAGACG